GCAACTTTACAGATCTTCTTTATGCACCAAGAGCTTGTAACACTCCAAAGAGAAAGGAAAAATTGAAATCGCATCATATGACCCCTTTAATATATAACATCACAGTGGACGTTTTGGTGGCTTGTTGCGAATATATTGCATTTTTTTCTTTTGTTGTTGTTGTTTTTGTTACTTATTTCTGCAGAGCTGGAAGATTATATACTTCGTTACAGTTGTCAGGTTCCTATCCAACACATGAAACAAAATGACAGTGAAACAACCAGAAACTAATGGGCAGCATTAATACCACATACCATGTAACTTAAAAGGCCAACAATATACCAATGCACACAACAAAATGAACAGCAAAACTGATTGAAAAGGGTCCAGTACACGAGTATTTGAGACTAAAGTACAGGTCCACTTGCTTCAAAGTTTTTGGTTGTGACAATGACCTCAGTTCACCCAGAAGTCATTTGCACTTGGTCGTTCCGAACATCGATCATTAACAGGCTGACACAAAGGCCGTGTACACAGCCCAAAAGGAATGTTTTTAAGAGGATTACCCACAGTTCTTTGGCTCTTTGTGTTCGAGTGGCGTGTTATTGAGAACCTTGTTATTGAGTTATTGAGTAAACTAGCTTATTCACTTAACAAGCCTTAAATAACCTTTAAAATCATCTAGTAAAGCCCAAGTAATGGAGGTGGATTCTTCACAAAATGGACTGATGTTATTCTGTGTTTAATGTCTGAGACTTTAATGAACAATTGTCTGAAGGAGTGGAAGAACTTAAGCTCAGAAATGAGTCTGCAGAGAACTCAAACAGCATCAGGAATCTCTTGTAAATCTACATGCATCTTATGATGCAGAGCCAATGCGACATTAAATATTTGGTGCACAAAGTATCAAGAGTAGCTGATAATATGCAAACACACCACTGTTAAAAAGCTTGGGGCCAGTAAGATATCAATTTACATTTTTTTTAAAGGGGTCATATGATGCGATTTTATTTTTTCCTTTCTCTTTGGAGTGTTACAAGCTCTTGGTGCATAAAGAAGATCTGTAAAGTTGCAAAGACTAAAGTCTCAAATCCAAAGAGATATTCTTTATAAAAGTTAAGAGTCAGCCACACCCCCCTAAAACGGCTCGTTCGAACACGCCCCCACATATCTACGTCACTATGTGGGAAGATTTGCATAACGCCGCCCAAATGTTCACGCAAAGAAAGAAGGCGTAACTTTTATTCTCACTGTAGTATTGTTGCCGCTGCCGCCATGTCCTGAAGACGCTGTGTGCTTCGTTGTGAAAGCGAAGCTACTTTGTTTGGTCTTCCAAAAGAGGACGATATCCGCTTCGTCATGCCTAGAGCTGATCTGTGCTGGTCGCTGAGGGAATACATCAACTTAGTGCTGTGGATCGCCGGATCGGCTTTCACCGTGGACGAAGCGGAGTCCAGCCCAGGCGCACCGTTCTCGACCCTGCCGCCTCAGCTCACTCTTGCCCGGCTTCAGCTCAGGCTAAGCCGGGGCTTTCGCTCACGCTAGGCCGCTGTGTTTTTCGTTGTGAAAGCGAAACTACTTTGTTTGGTCTTCCAAAAGAGGACACGACTAGAAATCAGTGGTTAAGTTGTATTTACAACACTGTTCCAGAACAGTTTAACCCAAATATCCAGATGTGTGCAGCACATTTTATGGAGGACTGTTTTCTGATCCTGGGAGAGTTACGTTAGACTAAAATGCCGGCAGTTCTGACTCACGTAAGTACGTTTTCATTTAAAGGATTTGCCACTGATGATTCAAACGCGAGTTTTGGGCAGTGTGGATTAACGTTAGCACTTGTTGTTTGTCATTTCTCTGATCACAAATGCAGACAGGGTTTTATGTTTACGCGGCGCAATGCAACGCAATGCGTAAAAAGACAGTATAAGTCATTATAATCCGTATTTATGTCCCCACTGGATGCAACAAATGCCTTGTTTGTAATGGGTTTTAATGTTTATGTCTCGTCGCTCCGGCTGGACATGGCATCAACAGTTGTGAGGGGCGTAACATTTCCGTCTCACGCTTGAGGTATTCGGCCAATCACAACGCATTGGATATCTGGCCAATCAGAGCACACCTCGCTTTTCAGACCGATTAGTTTTGTAAAAATCGACGCGTTTCAAAAAGGCGGGGCATAGAGGAGAAACAATAATGTACAGTATGTGGAAAATAATGTGTTTTTTGAACTTTAAACCGCATAAACACATTTCATTACACCAAATACACAAAATAATGTTCTTTTTAGCAGCATCATATGACCCCTTTAAACTAAGTATCATGTTAGCAGTTTGCATTGTATGCAGGATCGAATATTAAGCATGTTAGCAGCAGCATTTAGCATCTGTGTTTATACAGCTGGAGCAAAACGCAGTTTAGAGCATATGTAATCGCTCTGAGGACACACCGATA